AATCTTGACCACATAAAGCCAAATGACTTACACTAGCTCCAAGGTGCTAAATGCCAAAAGGGCATCTTGACCACAACCACATGCACACACCCACACTACACGCCACACACATACTACACTACACTCACACACGCGCACACACTCATACACTCACACTTGCACACACGGCACTTAATTAGTATTAATTAGGATTAATTAACACTAACCAAGGTGATTAAATTTAATTAATCACACTTAATGCTTAATCAAATAATTAAGCATAATGCTTAACTGATAAAATTATTCCGGACGTAAACGGTACGTCTAAAATAATTTCCGGGAATTCTGACTGAAATAACTGAAAATACTTATTCCGAAAAAAAAATATCGGAACTGAAATATATTATTATACTGATAAAAGTTGGGATATTACAGGAAGGTTCAGGGACTAACTCCCAAACATCGTTTCGAGTGAATTGCTCCAGTTCCTCTTGCATGGCTAAGATCCAGCACTCGTCTTTCAGAGCCTCTTTAGCATTCTTGGGTTCAATGAGTGAGGTGTAGCAGGCATAATGAGAAACACCCATAAGTTCTTTGACTGACATCTTCGAGTTTCTGGTTACTCTCTCGTTTATGTCACCAATGACTTGCTCGGATAGATGGTCTTTCTAAACCCTTAAGGGTGGATCACACCTAAGTGATACAGAACCTTCTTGAGTCGTATGGAAAATGTAGTCAGTAGATGTTTCAGCATCCCCAACAGAAGCTTCAACTATCTCCCTGTCTGCAGAACTCTTAACACCCTGAGTATCCTGCAACGCCTCAACATTTTCAAACTGATCAAAGGACACAGAGGAACTAACTTGAGAATTTTTTTCATCAAAGATTACATTTATGGACTCAATCACAATGGAGGTACTTGTGTTGTAAACACGATACGCTCGACTATTGTTAGAGTAGCCAAGAAAGAATCCAATATCCGATTTTAAATTGAACTTTCCAAGTTGGACACGATCATTATAGATGAAACATTTACACCAAAAAATATGCAAGTGACTGAGGTTAGGGCTCTTACCTTTCCAGAGTTCTTATGAAGTCAGACCAATCCTCGACGAAGGTACACACGATTCACGAGGTAGTATGCAGTATTGATTGCCTCAACCCACCATCTGGAAGAAATGTTTTTGGAGTTCAACATGACTCTGGCCATTTCTTGTAGAGTGCGATTCTTCCTTTCAACAACTCCATTTTGCTGAGGAGTTTTAGGAGCCGAGAACTCGTGACTAATACCCAGAGAATCACAAAATTCAGCAAACTCAGAGTTTTCAAACTCTCTTCAATGATCGCTTCGAATACTTATTATGGGAAAATCTTTCTCAGTTTGAACCTTCAAACAAAGTGACTTAAAGGCAGAGAATGTGTCAGAATTTTTACCTTGATAGCTTTCTACCTGAATGGGACCCATGAGATCCATGTGAAGAAGTTCTAGGATCTGTTTAGAAGCAATATGGTTCAGTGACTTGTGGGATGTCCTCTGTTTAGAAGCAATATGGTTCACAGCTTTGAAACACCCCTGACTACACCTGCATTGGTCAATTTGACAAGGTGAGAGTATCCAATATGCCCTAAGCGTTGATGCCATATTTCAGGTTTGCTCATATTTGAGAAAAGGCATTTTTCATTAAAATCAACAAGATAACAGTTATCCGTTGAACGAGAACCTGTAAGTACACAAGAACCTTCACTGTCTTTCACATAACACTTATCACATGAGAAACTGACACTAAGGCCTTGATCAAAGAGTTGACTCACACTCAAAAGATTTTCCTTTAGTTCATCGACAAGTAACACATCAATTAGTTTAGGTATTCCACCCAAATTTAAACAACCAGTTCCAATAACCTTATTGCTCACTCTGTCACCTAACGTGACTTCCCCATTTGAGCTGGGCTAAATGTTCATCAAGAAAGAAGGTTCACCAGTCATGTGTCTAGAGCAGCCGCTGTCTAGATACCATTTACCTTTCAAAGAAGTCCTGAGGGAAAGAACAGAGGCAAAACAGTTGAAGTATTTCTTAGCAACCCACACTTGATGAGTTTTGGTACGGTTATTTGCGAGGAGTCTGGCATGAACCTTCACTGGAATGCCAGACTGATTCCAACCCCTAACATTACATGTACAAAGATCATGCTGCATTTTATAGCACTTGGGTCTTATGTGACCAGTTACACCACAGTAATGACAGATAGGAACAAAGTTATGGTGAGTTTTGTTAACAGATTTCTGCATAGGGGAATGAACCTGCAAGGGAGACTGTGGAGATGGAGGTTTACTTACAGTGCTTTTTACAAGACCGGTATGTTTTGTATTTGAAGTTCCAGTTGAGGACTCAGGTATGTCTTCCCTACCAGTGTACCCTATTCCAGTAAGATCACCATATTGTTTTCCCAAGGAAAGAAGTTCATTCAGATATGCTTTTCCCTTGTTCAATTTTCGAACAAATTCTGCAGTTCTATTCAACTCAGCAGAATTAGCCTTCAGTTTGCTTTCCATGCTAGCATGTTCGTTCATCAGCCGATCAACTTCATTTTTCAGTAGCATGATTTCCTGATTCTGCTCGGCAAGAAGTTTCTGAGTGGAGAATAGTTCGGTCCTCAAGCATTCAATGGTCTGAGCCTTCTCCAGTCCTTTCTGTTTAGCAAGTTTGACACTGCTTTCAAGAATGCAGGTTCGTGCCTTTGCAGTATCCAATTCACATTCTTTAGTAGCAGTGGAGGCGGATGCTTGTTCGTTCAGCACCTTGTTTGCTCTTGAAAGTCTAAACACTTCATTTTGAAGCTTCTGTAGAGCTTCAGATGCTTGAGCACACTTTTCCATAGCAAGTAAGTGTACTGGATCTACACACACATTTTGATCTGCTTCATCCTCAGAAGCATCAATTTCTTTCAAACTTTCTTCAAACTTGGTCGGAGCATGAGAAGTGGTGAGACACATGAACTTCTTGACTAAGGTATGAACTGCCAAGTTGTTTGTGTGCAATGAAGGTTCATCTGTACCTTCTTCATCTGAATCTTCCCAGGTTGCCTTCAGTGACTTATTCTTCTTCTTAAGATTTGCACACTCATACTGGAAGTGTCCAAAGCCTCGACACTCCCTGCATTGATCCTTCTCAACTCGTTGTGAATCAGATTTTGAGAGTGGCATACTAGTTTTCTTGTCCTGCACCACATTCTTGCTGAAGTTGTTCCCCCATTTATTCAGGAAATTTATTCTTGTACAACCTTTGACTCATCTTCCCATAGTTTCGCGCGATTAGAGCTAGTGCTTCTTTCAGCTCACTATCATCTGCCAACGGACCTTTATCATCATCGCTTTCTTCTCTTTCCACGACTACATCAGCTTTGAGAGCTAAGCCCTTACTTTTGACTTTGTCATAATTGTTGTTGATCTCAAACGTTCTGAGCTCTCCAAGAAGTTCATCAACATCCAACGACGCCACTCTTTGGAAACTTTCAAGAGCTGTGATTTTCTCTCTAAACCTGGGAACGACAGTTCTCATAATCTTTCATACTTGACGTTTCTCAGAGATTTCTTCTCCAAGCATCATACATTGATTTACCAGATCACAGAATCTGGCATAGTATACGTCAATTGTCTCTTCATCCCTCATTTTGATATCATCAAATTCAAGAGTTACATGTTGAAGTCTGGATGCTTTGACAGCCGTTGAACCTTCAAATTGACGCTGTAATACCCTCCAAGCATCTTTTGCAGTTTTTCAATGAACTATCATCTTGTGTCTTGTCTGATCAACTGCCATCATAATCGCATACAAGACACGATAGTTGGCTTCTTCTTGAAGCTTCTCAGCATCAGTCCAGTTGTCCTTAGGTTTAGAAACGACGACTTTTGTTATTTCTTTACCTTGATCAGGTGCTTGTTGCATGACTAGATGCTCCTAGTCATTTTCAACACTTTCCCATACGCCTTTTCCAAGCGATCTCAGAAAGATTGTCATCATAGACTTCCAATATGAGTAGTTCGAACCGTCTAATTGTGGGGGCCTGGACATCAATCCGCTTTCTTGATTCATGATTTGAGGGTAACACACGTCCGATGATCTTTCGTAATGAAGACGAAAACCCGCTCTGGTGCCAATTGTAATTTGATACTTAAACCCCAAGTACCCAGAGTTGTACGTAAATCGAATAGACAGATAGTAATGAAGATTCAAACAATTGCGGAAGCAGTTTTTTCACTGAAAATTGAACCTTCAGGAGAGCGTCCCACTCTCCCTTCAGATCTCTTTTATTAATGTGAACAACTCATACATGATCCAAGGGTTTACAGTATAGACTCCCTCTACACTCTACTTGAGTAATGATTCACACAACTACTTATCCGACCACAACTCTCTTGTGGATTTTCTAGTTCAAATCCCTCGAAACTATAAGAACGAACCTCCGAATGTTCTTTTACAAAGTGTTCTGAATATCACGCTTTTTTACTCAAGGAAAGAAAAAATATCAAACTCAAAAAATTCAGATTAAAAGATCGTCCTCAACTCTGGTCTCGACCTCCTTTTATCTTCAGCATCCTTTAGAAAGTCTTTTCATCCAAGACACACGCAGATAAGGAATGAAAATCTCTTTAACGTTTTCTTCTTCGATTATGGAAAGTAAATCTCGCGATCCTCCTTCACTTTAGATTATGGAAAGTGCATCTCCCCCTCAATCCCAACGTCCTGCCAAAATAATAAAATAAATAATTAGTCCTTTGGACTTAATTAAAATTAAGACTTATTCATACTAAAAATAAACTTCCCTTAAATACTTCCGTAAATTTCTGGACTCTGCGAACATCAGAAGGTTCATCAATTTTCTGCTAATCTTCAGCACTTACAGGAAGGACAAATATAAAGATAGAGTGGTCCAATTAAACAATCACATCCTCGAGCATATAAACTACTCAAATATCCCACCATCTATCCAAAATCAGCACAAGATCAATCATTCCCATCAAAACTCCATGCAACAAACACATATGCTCAAGCTGAATTGCACTTCGAGTACTCGACTTTTATCTTTTTTTACTTTTTTTTATTATTATTTAGGGAGTTTATTTTGTTTTATTTTATTTTCTAAAAAGACTGAGACATCAGGACGACATTCTCTAGGTTTAAACATTGAAGGTCATCCAAGTTTCCTAGAGTGGTTTCCCAATACTCATTACTCATGAAAATCCCACAAGTAAGTGGAGTAGAATCCTTAAGTTCGTCTTGTGATTTTCCTTTTTTTTTTGTCAAGTACCCAAAATTCAACTCAAATAAATTATACTCTTCTCCAAACACATATTAGGAGCTCCGTCATCATAACAAATTCATTGTCAAATCTTCAAATAATTCAATCAAATCGGATGACAAGAAATTCAGTTTAAGGCTCAATGGGCTACTAATGAAAATATAATCTTAAGGGTCAATGAAAAAGGCTAAACGACCAATGTCAAAGAAATGCCTCAATCATTTTCACAATTCACTACATCAATCACTTCATTTCAAAATAGACTCAAAGCAAGTTCTGATCAACAAAGAATCCGACCAATATCTCTCAAGAAACGAAATAAGGCTCAAACCTCTCATAAGGTAAATAAATGACCAACAAAATGCAACATCAAGTTCATCAAGGCATACTGGTCATGATCATCATCACATCACCTCAACATCATCAACAATCATCAACAAATCTTAAAATTCACCATGATTGATGCTAAAAAACACACGCACTGACTCAAGAAAAGACACTAAAATAATACAGAAAAAAAGAAAAACAACCTAAAAGACCTAGACTTGATCAACCGTATAAGCACATAATCATGTAAAAACTCCCCCACACTTAAAACCGAACAATGTCCCCATTGTCGATTTGCAGTGTAAGGGAAGTTAACCCATATAATCAACCAACATAAAAACCAGAAAATACTAATCCAAACACAAAAATAAAGAGAAAGGAAAAGATACAAACGTACAGGGCACAGTGACTAGACTAGTCACTGTAAATCCGGTGGTGCTGGTGGAGGGTGGAGGTGGTCAGGCCCCGAACAACGGTGGGCCTCCATCAGCTCAAATCTCTCGCCCCATTGGGATCGGGGCAAATCTTTGGAACTCGGCTCGGGTGGGATCAAGGGGCGGTTGGTACGACGTCCTTTCTCAGATATAGCTCGGTCCTGCAATGACCGCTTAGCGTGCTCTCGCATGCACGCTTCCTCTGTCAGTTGCTCAATCGCCCTGAGGTAGGCACACTCTTCAACCAATTTCGCCTGCGGCTCAGGCCTGGTCTCTCGAATAGAAACGACAATGGTCTCGCCCAATACTGTCATGCTCGCCGTCCCCTTTCTCACATCGATAACCATGCTCGTGGTCGCCATGAAGGGTCGTCTGAGGACGATGGCGTGATCCTTACCATTTTCTTGCACACTTCCCATTTCAAGCACGACAAAATCCAAGGGGACTATCAGCTTCCCCACTTGGACGAGAACATCCTCCACAATCCCTTCAGGTTGACGAAATGAATTGTCTGCAAGCTGTAGGCGCATCTTGGTTGGTTTCAACTCCCCAAGCCCGAGCCTACAATAAACCGTGAGTGGCATTAGGTTAATGCCAGCCCCCAGATCGAGCATGCCTGAAGTCTCTTCCCCGTTCCCGAAGGCCATAGTGATCACAAAGCCTCTGGGATCCATTTCTTTCTTCGGCAAGTCATGCTGGAAGACACTTGCCGCTTCTGACACTAGCACCTCATCACTGCTCTCGAGCCTCTATTTATTTGCCGCAAATTCCTTGAAAAATCTAGCATATTCCGGTATCTTCTTGATCACATCAAGTGGATATAAGTCAACGTTGGCCTTAGCAAACATTGCATGCAGGTCCCGAATCATCCTACGGTCTTTCTCCTCCAAGAGCCGACTCGGGAATGGAATTTTTGGTTTGAGGGGTTCAGGGATTTGCGTAAGGCAGGTGCGCGTGGTGGCCTACCTGGGGTCTCCATTTTATGGGGTCTCCATTTAATGTCCTTCCTCTGTCAGATCCTCTAACTCGGGCATAAGCATCGTGATTGATTTTGCGTGCTCGGGCTGGCTCGACAGCTTTCCCTTATCCATCTCAGTCTCGATGTTCCCAACCCGTGTGGCCAGCTGGCCTACTTGCGCCTCGAGACGCTTAATGGATACATCTTGATTGGTGATGAAGTTCAGAATCTTGTCGAGCTTGTCGTCCATGCCCAGGGGAGTTGGTCCGGTTTATGGTGCTGGCATCCTTAACATCCCCCTAGGTTGCTGCTGCTGGGGAACAAAGTTGGTTTGAGGTGGCTGCTGATAATGGTTATTGGCCAATGAGAAGTGAGGGTGGTTTCGCCACCCCGGATTGTACGTGTTCGAGTAGGGGTCATTTCCGGGCCAGTTTTGATACCCCTACATTGCATTCACCTCGGTAATCTGGCGTCCATAGCCCGACTCGATAGCCGACGGGCACACTTCTGAACTATGTCCTTGCACTCCGCATGCACCACAAACATTCACCGCCATCGTCTGAATCGGTGAGGAACTTCGAGCATTCAATAGCCACATCTGCTCCGTGAGCTCGGCTAACTATTGGGCCATGGCTTTATTGCTCGAGCCTACCTCATTCACTGCAGACCTCTTCCCTCTGACACTTTTCTGAGACGAGTTAGCACTCATCGTCTCATAGATAGCAATCATCTCTTCAGCCGTCCTGGCCCCAATATCCCCTCCAGCTGCATTGTCCACCATGTACTGCAAGTCTGGTGGAGGGAGTCGTAGAAACAATTCGCTAGTAGCCCCCGAGCGAGGTTGTGGTGGGGGCACTGCCTCTGAAGGTCCTTGAAGCGTTCCCAAGCCTCGTGAAGAGGCTTGTATGGCAGTTGGGCGAAGGAGAGTATCTGAGACCGGATGTCTTGGGTCTTCTGGTGGGAATAGTACTTCCTGACGAATTTAGCATAGACCTCTAGCCAAGTTGTGAGAGAATCTGGGGCTAGGGTCATGAACCAAGCCTTGGCTTGGTCCTTCAGAGTCTCTGGGAAGCACCACATTTTAAGATGGTCCTCAGACAGCCAATGTAGAGGAAACGTCTGGAGAACGTTGTAAAATTCATAGAGAAAATGGAGTAGATCTTCATTAGGGAGCCCGTGAAATGAAGGCAATTGATTGTAATGGATCATTTTCAGCTCATAGTTGCGGACGGCTTGTGGCAACCGGATGCAA